GCCCTGTTCTAGACTACAAACTGTGGACAAGCAGAGGTGTGAGCTGTAAATTGTCACCATTCCCAGTTTGTTGCAAGGGGTTCCCATGATTACCCACATCCTCCTCTGAATGAGAACCAATCAGCCCATTCAGAAAAATGTTGAGCTATAGAATTTCCTGACAATGATATGCACGTGTGATTTCCTTCTATTGTAGCAAAGGCTAAGAATCTGTCTCTCTCTTTTTGAGGCCTAGACATTAAATTATGGGACTTAAGAAAAGGAAAAGATAACATTTTTCGCAACCCCCCCCCCACCACACACACCTGTTTGGTGAACCCCTGTTCGTCTTCAAAAATCCTTCTCACATATTGCCTCCTTCGGGGAGTTTCCCATCTTCTTCTCCCCCTGTCTTTGGCACGTGTCTTTTGTTATGCTGTTTTCTCTCCCCATAAGATCACTGAGGCAGGGGCCAAGTGTTACCATTGCTTGTCCCAGCACCAAGAATCTAGAGAGGCTTCAGTATTTGGTGAAAGAATGAATGGTATTTTCATTTCTCAAAAAGCTAAAAAATAAACCATGCTAATTTTCTTGGGTGGGGGAATAGCGTGCGTGCTTACCAGTAACATCTTGTCGAGTGATGTCACCAAAATATTACCTACACCACAGCAAGATCTGCATCAAAGGAGAAAAAAAATCAGGCCCACTATAGATATCGAACCCAGAGCCCCTTCCCTTTTGGCAACATATGGGCACAAGATTCTGAAAATTGGCTGAACCTCACTGCGCATCCAGATATTTAGTCATCACTTAATACCATTAAAGCAACATCTACAGCGTAGATGCTTGCACAAAGCACCATGCCAAGCGCTATGGCAATAAAAGCAAAAGATCCCGTTCTGAGCAGCTGCTATTAAATCATTCTTACATGAAGTGCCCCTAAGCACTCGACTCAACATTATTTCCATTGATGTCAGGGTGAAATCCCATTGCCTATCATTTCCCGTTAGCGTTCGAAACTTGTATCCGCTTGTCCACATCTCACTCCACCGCCGTTCCCTTGTTGCCTGCACAGCATTTTAGTCCTGTCTCTTTGGGAGGGATTCTCACTTCTCTGGTGTCTGGTTGTATGTGTCTCTATCTTCTACTCCGTGGGTCAGCAAAATCAGATCCTCGGGCCAAATGGAGCTTGCTACCTGTTCTTGTAAATCCGATCTTTTTTTAAAGATTTTATTTATTTATTTGACAGAGACACAGCGAGAGAGGGAACACAAGCAGGGAGAGTGGGAGAGGGAGAAGCAGGCTTCCTGCCGAGCAGGGAGCCCGATGCGGGGCTCGATCCCAAGACCCTGGGATCATGACTTGAGCTGAAGGCAGATGCTTAATGACTGAGCCACCCAGGCGCCCCATTTTTTAAATTATTTTTAAAGATTTTATTTATTCATTTGACACAGAGAGAGAGAGACAGCTAGAGAGGGAACACAAGCAGGGGGAGTGGGAGAGGGAGGGAGAAGCAGGCTCCCACTGAGCAGGGAGCCCGATGTGGGGCTCGATCCCACGACCCTGGGATCATGACCCGAGCCAAAGGCAGACGCTTAATGACTGAGCCACCAAAGCGCCCTTGTAAATCCGATTTTATTGGCCAGCCGCACGCACTCATTTGTGTATTGTGTGTGATGATGGCTTTGGCGTGCCACAACACTGCATCTGAGCAGCTGTATCAGAGACCGTCTGGCCCGCAGTGCCAAAAATAGTTACTCTCTGGCCCCCTATAGAAAAAGTTTGCTGACCTCTGCTCCAATATGTTGAGAGATCCTTTGAGACAGCGGTGTTGTGTTCTTTTTTTTTTTTTTTAAAGATTTTGTTTATTTATTTGACAGAGAGAGAGACAGCAAGAGAGGGAACACAAGCAGGGGGAGTGGGAGAGGGAGAAGCAGGCCTCCTGCCGAGCAGGGAGCCCGATGCGGGGCTCGATCCCAGGACCCTGGGACCACGACCCGAGCCGAAGGCAGACGCTTAACGACTGAGCCACCCAGGCGCCCCGCGGTGTTGTGTTCTTTGAGGTTTTTAACCCCAACAGCTGTATGTTTCCCAACTCATTCAACCCATGTTTGAGTCCCACTGTGTGCACGGCGCTGTTCCAGGGGCTGGCAGGACATCCCTCAAAGAGCCAAGCCAAGTCTCTGCTCACATGGAGCTTACCTTCTAGCGGTGGGGCAGCGGGGAGTGATGATGGCTCAGTGACCAAACTAGTAGAATATGTTGGGTGACAAAAGTTATGGAGAAGGACAAAGTGAGGCGGGGTGGGGAGGGTGAGCTGGGGAGAGGATCGCCGTGATGGGTGGGTAGGTGGTCGTGGGGGTAGCAGGGGAATTGTTTTTCCGTGGGTTCACAAAGAGGTGGCACTGCAGCAGAGAGTCACGTGGATTCCAGAGACCTTGGGAGGGGAGATGGGACGTGCTTGGCAAGTTGGAGGCATCACAAGGAGGCCGTGTGCCCAGAGCCGAACGAGGGCTAGCGTGGGAGGAAGTGAAGTCACTGTCTGAGTCTGTTTTTTGGGGCCGGTTTTATTCTGCTGAGTTGCTCCCTGAGGGAGATGGGAAGCCCCTGGAGGGGAGAACAGAGAAGAGGCAGGCTTGGTCATGTTTTGACAGGATCTCTGGCTTCGGGAGTAAAAGACTGCGGGTGGGGGCCAGAGTGAGCAGAAGGCAGGAAACCATCCGGAAAGGTATTGTGATAATCCAGGTAAGGTGTGATGTTGGCTGGCCCACGATCACAGAGCCGGGATGGTGAGGGTGCCAGATTCCGGCTTTGCGAGCCAGCTCACTTAACGTCTCTTGACTCAGATGTCAGCATTTCCACCGGGGTCAGGGGTAGAATCACCTCTAGAAATTGTGATTGCGCCACGCTGGGATGGAATCCTGGCACCTGCAGAAAAATACGGTCCTCGCAGCTCTCCAGACATAATTGGAGCTCATCCCTGTGTGGAGATCTATCGGTAGGCGTTCTTGTCGCCCCTGAGAACAAAGCGGACCAAAAGGGCGACGGTTTCCCTTTAATTTACCTTCTTCCGATGGGAAGAGAGAAGAAACCCGATTTAGAGATAATTCTGTTTTTCCACGATTAACCAAAATAATGATTAATAGGTAAACCCTTTCAATTTCGTCCAAGCCATCTGTCGGAAGGGGTGGCTAGGACCAAGCGGGGATGGCAGGTGTCTCCCCGCAGCAGTCCTGTGGTTGCCACTGCGAGATGTGCAGACATGAGCAAGCTTTCATATTTCAAATCTCAGCTGCCTGCTTATTTTCCTCGTGTAGTTAATATTCGCGAATGGCTGAAGATCTTTTTAAGATACCAGGCTTCTATGAAGCCGGCAGCTCTTTAATTTTTAACAAACTCAGCACGTACTTGACGCTTTTAATGATCAGTTCCTGTTCAGTTGATGGCAAGATGAGCATTAGCTTAACCAAAGCCCCACATGGTATTTCTGAGGGATGCTATTTCAGAAAGGGGCAGCGCATTCTAGAAATCGCGAGTTTTGTAAATAAAGGGAGGTGTGAATACAAAAAGGCCGATTGTCCAAATCACTAAACGGTAGCTGTGGATGTGAAGCCTTCCCATCAAGCGGGCCAAGAACCCCCCCCCCCCCCCCGAGGGTGATTGGAACCTGGCGTCCCCTGGGTGAGCCGCACTGTTCTCCCACAGGCCGCACTGGACTGCGTCTAATATGCCCGGCGCTGTTCTGCAGACCTCTGCTAACGGTCTTGAAAGGGAGATGGTTCAAAGAGGCCCGGTTCCCAGGCCTGCTAATGAGCACGAGGCCTCTTTCCCAGTAATGAACTGGGGTCTGTGCGGGATTCTTTTCCCCTGCCCTTTCCGAAGGGAAGGCAGGCAGGAGTTCACAAAAGCAACACCCCGTCTTCGGGGCGCGGGGAGCGTGCAGCTGGGCCACCCGAAAACAGCCTGGCGGGGAGCGACGAAGCTCGCGGAGACCAAGCCCGGGGCCAACAGGGCTCTGGGTGTGAGGCTGGACCTCCTGCTGGCCTGGCCTGTTGCTGGCCACAGGGACAAGCCCTCGATGGCACTCTTTCAGCCAGGCGGGCGGCGCAGGATCCCTGAGCTGCTACCTGTACTGCAGTCGTTAGCCCTGCTAATAACTTATCAAATGAATATTGAAGCCACGAAAATCCTTGTCCTAATTAACTAAATCGTTACTAGTTGTTGGTACCCAGGCTCACCGCAGCCACTGAAAAGGCCCGCAGATATTTTTCTCTGCTTCCCTCTGCCCACCCACATCCCACTGCTGGATTAAACAATAGAATTATTCAAGAGAGTAACGAACACATGCCAAAAAACATGGCCTCGATCACAATCATCTCTGTGAAAGTCAGTGTTTTTTCGCAGGAATATATTTTGGAAGCTGACATCCCATATTTAAGCATTATCATTTCCGCTGAAGTCATGCTTTTGATCTCATGCACATTTCATGGTCATTTCCACAAGAAGCGCTTTTCTGCTTCTCTGAAGCCTGAGGTGGTGTCGTAAAAAGTCCTGCAGACGCATAAACGTTCACGTGTAAGTTCATCAGTTCAAAGTTAGGAAAGACTCTGGTTCGTTAATTAACATTTCTACATTTTAATTCTCCATACAAGGTAAAACTTGGCCGTGACACAATAAGATTATTGTCATTAGATACAAATTATGGAGATTACAGTTTCAATAACTTGCCAGTCTGGAGTAAGGCCTTTTAACAAACAAAATTGCGAAGAAAAAAAAAAAATTTTTTTTTTTTTCCTGCTGTCGGTGACTGGGAACTTTGAGAAAATGTTAGTTGGTATGCTGGCTTTGGGTGTTTCTCCCCTCCTCATTCCCCCAGTGAATAGAAAGAGAATTATTTGGAATGCACACGCATTTACCCTTCCATGACCTGCGTTTGGAATTATTCTGAGATGCATTCAAAGCTGACAGCTCCCCATGGCTGACCCCCTCGCACCTAATCAGATCTTACGTTCTGTTTCCAGATAGCTGATCAGCTTCCTTGGATTTTGCTGATGACCCAGGAGAGCTTTGCCTGAAGATGGAAACGCTGGAGTCGGAGCTGACCTGCCCTATTTGTCTGGAGCTCTTTGAGGACCCTCTCCTGCTACCCTGTGCACACAGCCTCTGCTTCAACTGCGCCCACCGCATCCTGGTGTCACACTGCGCCACCAACGAGTCTGTGGAGTCCATCACCGCCTTCCAGTGCCCCACCTGCCGACATGTCATCACGCTCAGCCAGCGAGGTCTAGACGGACTCAAGCGCAACGTCACCCTGCAGAACATCATCGACAGGTTCCAGAAGGCATCCGTGAGCGGGCCCAATTCCCCTAGCGAGACCCGCCGGGAGCGGGCATTCGACGCCAACACCATGACCTCCGCCGAGAAAGTTCTCTGCCAGTTCTGTGACCAGGATCCTGCCCAGGATGCTGTGAAGACCTGTGTCACTTGTGAAGTGTCCTACTGTGATGAGTGCCTGAAAGCCACTCACCCAAACAAGAAGCCCTTTACAGGCCATCGTCTGATTGAGCCAATTCCGGACTCGCACATCCGGGGGCTGATGTGCCTGGAGCATGAGGATGAGAAGGTGAATATGTACTGTGTGACCGATGACCAGTTAATCTGTGCCTTGTGTAAACTGGTTGGGCGGCACCGAGATCATCAGGTGGCAGCTTTGAGTGAGCGCTATGACAAATTGAAGGTTAGTCCGATCCGCCTTAAGCCAACCCCTTTCTGCCAGCAAATGTCATGGGAATAAAAAGTGTATTCACTGCTAGCTGCATGGCAGGTGAAGGTTTTCTCTTCACCTTTGTTATCTGATTAGTTTTAGCATGTTTTTTGGCAGCCTGTAAATGTTGCACAATCAGGGTATCTTGTAAAAGTTGACTGCTGCTTGTAATTTTCGCGTTGTCAAGGTGAGGGCGAATTTGAAAGATCTGGATCATTTTCAGTCCTTGCAGGGGAGAGAGAGAGGGAGGGAGGGAGGGAGGGAGGGAGGGAGAGAGAGAGAGAGAGGGGGGCGGGGGGGGGGGAGAAGGAAAGAAGGAATGGCCGATAAAAATCTGGCTTTGGGCATTTGGGGGGCATTTATTTTCTTCACTTATTAACGAAAGCTAATTTCACCCGAATCGTACCTGTATCCAGTTACTTGCACAAACAAAAGGGTAGAGGGAGGAATGCCTATGGCAAGTGTGGGATTTTAGAGGACATGTGACCTTGTATTTCTTCTGTGAATGATATCCGGCTTATTGGGGAGCTAGAGCGCTCTGACCATCTCGGGTTTCGCCAAGGAATTCCTTTTCGTGTAGGCTTTTTCTTCAGTAAGGTTACAGGCGAGGCTGTGTGAACTTCACTTTTAACGTGAAATTATTAACCTAGCTCCAGCTCGGGGGATGATAATTAATATGACTATACGTCAAATTAAAAATCACTCTCTAAATATGGATAGAGTGCACCAGGGAAGAAATAAGTCAGGTCTCCAGATGTCTGTCGAACTTCAGGCGATGGTGGGTCTAATTATGGCGAACTCAGCCGAGAGTTTGCTCTAATAGTGAGAGACTATGCTCACCGGTTAATTTTAGATCACAAGACGCCAATTAAAAGGAAAGGAAGTATAAATTAAGAGCTTTGAGTAAATATATATTGAAGTCCTTCCTCTCAGGAAAAACACACACCGTGTTGTTGAGCAAACAAAAAATGAAACACATGATCGAGAGCGTTATCACTCAGGGCACATCGTCACCTCTCACAAACGGTTCCTATCACTTTTCCTTAGCGCGCTAATGGATGGTTGTGTTCCCCGGGACCTCGTAGTTTATTTTGTGATGCTGCGATTAATGGACCACACCTGTGATTTGGTCAGGCTGTTTCTTGAGATGCTGAGGGAAACTGGTGAGCTGAAGTGAATCCTGCTTCTGAATGTCACTTGGGGAACCTGGGCAGCATGCCTCACTTTGAAGTGTCCAAGGACTGCTGGTGCAAATCCATCTGTAAACTCGGAGAAGAAGTTAAGCCCGAGGACTTAGGTGCTGGGGACAAGGGGAGACAGACGCCGACTGGTTTTCTCGTATAGTGCATGGTACTAGCCAAAAACACGCCTCTAGAGATAATGATAGCAAAGGCAACGCATGTGTGCGCATTGTGCCTCCAATATTCTTCGGAAATGGACACGGCAATCGATTTCAGAAGCCAAGGTGATCATTTCTGCCCCTTTTTGGCTGGGGACAGAACGTTTAAGATGACTGGACATAGGTGATTTTGTTTTCCAAAATGTGAACATGGCGGACGGGAGTCTTTATCAAAAGAAATTTCCCTTGACTGGATTAACACTGCCTTTTAACAGTCAATTGTTGAAACACCACAATGATAGATGTTCAGTATTCAGCAGCCTCCAGACTTGATATTTAAACTTGGTAGTCAAGTTCTGCTCATTATTTGTGTACTATCAGAGAGGAGTTATTAATTATTTACAGAACATCTCCAAATTTATGAGGAGAGACTATCATGCTCTAAGCTCTTTTTGTGATGAAAATGAAGCTCTTCAATTATGAGCCCTGCACACTTGTCTCATCAAGCCCGTGGGTTAGCGGTCGTTGATACTGTCACCGAAGGGCCTGACAATTAACAGTGCAGTATATTTTATCTTCTAATTACAGAAATAGAAGCATATAAACAGCACCCAGTGCACCAAAGCGCATTTACAGCCACTCAACAAAATATGCTTATGAGCATTTAAAGAGGTAACCTGCTGGCATAGCGTGTCTGTCCTAAAACACACCACTTGCATTAGAATAAAAAGGTGATAAGAATATATTGACATTTGGGGTGTCTGTGATATTTCAGGTATCATATATTTATGAACATATGTGCTTTTTTGGGTTTAAAACCCAAGTACAACATGGACATTAATTTTTGAGGAAAGTAATAGCATACCGAAAGGACCAAAACCAAGGAAGGGTATTTTCTGTTAATTATTACTTTGGTCTGAACAAGTGAATGTGCTCTGTAAGTGTCTTTTTCTGAGGCTTTAGCATCTCGTACAGAAATAGATCTGTGACGGTGTGGAAATATAAAGCGTGGAGAAATTTGAGGGTGCTTTCCTTGAGAAGATGACAGATGTGCTGTACTTATTTGGATATGTAAGGACGCAGGTGTCTCCTTTTGGAAAATGTGTTCTTGTGTTAGTAAAAGTCCATTATTTGGGGCCCCTGGGTGGCTCAGTCAGTTAAGTGTCTGCCTTCGGCTCAGGTCATGATCCCGGGGTCCTAGGATCGAGTCCCACATGCGGTTCCCTGCTCAGCGGGGAGCCTGCTTCTCCCTCTGCCTGCCGCTTCCCCTGCTTGTGCTCTCTGTCTCTCTCTCTGACAAATAAATAAAAATACAATCTTTAAAAAAATATTCCTTAAAAATAGTCCATTATTTGAAGATGGGAATTCTGCAATGATTTTGAAGAACAGTTATTTCTTGCACTGATCTTAAACTTCGGGGGCCACTTTTACTCATATTAGGTCTCAGTATATATACACGTGCTTGTGTAAAGAATTGGAATACACTTTTGTACACTACAACTCTCTTTCCAGGCACAAAAGAAAAAAAAAGCATAAAAATTCCAACATGTAGAATTCATGCAAATAAAATCTTCCATGTCATCTGAAATAGCACTGTGTCAGTAATCTAGTGCTTTCAGAGACTATGCATTGGGAAGCACTCATAAAATATTGAAGCAAAGAGAAAATTAAACCAGCATTTCCTGAACTCGATTTTAAGATAAAAAGAGAAAAGTCTTCCTGCCAAATGCATGTCTCTAAATGGAGCATGTCATAATGTGGACCTGCTTGTATCATTTGAATTGAATTTTAAGAAGCCTCTCAGTCCTCAAGCCTGGATTAAAAGTTTGATTTGTGAACCACATAACATGTAAGAGAATTTAATACAATGTATTGCAGAGTTTTCAAGGAGTTACAATGCAATAATTCCATTTTTTTTTTTCTGTTCCAACATGCAATGTTGGGTCTCTTGTTTCTTTTCTCAAGTTAAACCTATAAAAATATACAAACTGAGAAGAGTTGACCTTTCCTTGCCCTTCAACTTCGGCACAGTCCCACTTCAAGTTAGCTGATGCTGAAGGTCCAAACCATTGTTTTGCATTTGTGACTCTAAAGGCTGGCTCTAGGAGTTTCTTTGTACAATGCCCATTTCGATGGGTCATCCCATTGGACTTCTGTCATCATTTGATAAAGGTTCCAATCAAAGCTCCGCCTTCCTGCGTAGTCTTTCTCATCTAGAGGTAAAGACGAGGGATTTCACTCTTGGGTTTCATTTATAGATTGTAAGTTTCCATAATTTTGAAAGTCCTGTGCCTTATCTGCAATTGGGAATGTTGTAAATGAGTACTTAGCTAGACTTTTTTTTCTTCTTTCCTTAGAATTTCTAGAACTTGTTTCTTCTTTGAAAACAGTAGCAGGTAAAGTGCAGGTTCCAGTGAAAAGGTGTGTGTGTGTGTGTATGTGTTACATGGCACATCCGCGGTGTGGATAGAGGCCGGGGATGCTTGTACATCCTATATGATGTGCAGGATGGACTCCCCATCGCGTGGACTTATCTGGCCCCAAATGTCCACAGTGCCCAGGTCAAGAAACCCTGATCCCTGAGAAGAATTTAGTGTTTATCACTGTATTAATTTGCTAGGGCTGCCGTAACAAGGGACCTCAAACTAAATGACAGAAATTTATTATCTCACGGTCCTGGAGGCTAGAAGCCTGAAACCAAAGTGTGAGCAGAGTTGCTTCCTCCTGAGGGCTGTGAGGGAAGGATGTGTTCCAGGCCTCTCTCCTTGGGTTGTAGATGGCCTGTCTTCTCTCTGTCTCTTCACATGGCATTCTCCCCATGTGCTCGTCTTTGTGTTCACGTTTCCCCTTTTTATAAGCACACTGGTCATATTGGAGCAAGGGCCCACTGTACTCCGGTATGACCTCATCATAACTAAGTGTATCTGCAGTGACCCTATTCCTAAGTGAGGTCACATTCTGAAGTACTGGAGGTTAGGACTTCAACATATGAATTGGGGGGTGGGGCACAATTCAACCCATAACAGTTACTGACTTCAATGTCTACCTAATTGTCTAGTCGACTGAACACGTATTATCTCTCCATCAAGGATTTAATCACCTTGCGTTAGGCAGAACCCTTGGCTCACACTGCCCTATCGCTCACCTAAGACTGACCACGGGGTCTTGCAGATCATTAATTCTCAACAAATTCTTGTCAGCTGCTTCACTGATGATCAACATTGACCCTACATGAAAACTTAAATTCATGATAATATTGCAGGTATTCGTTCCTCTATTAGGATGAAGCAGTCTATAATAGAATTTCTAAGTAAGAGCAGAGCCAGATATTACATGATATTTTATCCAACTAGACACGAACCATTATTTTGGTCTGTCTTGCATTTTGTTGGCTTAAGTGGTGTGAATTTTGATAAACTAGATCTCAACGAGTGGTATTCACATGTGTTTCGTGCTACTATGCGATGGACACTTGGTAGACGCATCGTACCCACCGTTTCATTTATCCTCCAATCAACAATAGCTGGCATATAGGTTTTTTAACAGGCCACCAAAAAGTAAGCTCATATATGCTTAAGAAATGAATAAGCGTAGTCTCCTTCCTTCGTGGAGCTTGTAGTCTAGTAGAGAATTC